TTTTTTTTCTTTAAATTTTCAACTGAAAAGTACTGACCTTTATTTCCTAATTCAAGGTTTCAAGCCAGTAAACAACTATAATATCTTTATTTCCTCCTTTTTAATGACCTGTTGCACTTCGGTAAAATGATAACTTGTTTCATACCTTTTTTTAAAAGTGTTGGTTATTTTTTTTTATTTCATCCACAGGAAGGAGTGAAGACTGAAAACAATGACCACATTAATCTGAAGGTGGCAGGGCAAGATGGGTCTGTGGTGCAGTTTAAGATTAAGAGGCACACACCACTTAGTAAACTAATGAAAGCCTATTGTGAACGACAGGTATGATCCCAGGAGAACGGTGTCTGGGGGAGAGCTGATCTCCACAGGGATAGAGGAAAACAGTTAAAGTCCTAAAACTTAAGTAAATATGCAACAAGATAGAGATTTAACAGAAACTAATTGTACTGTGGGAAGTTTATTGTCCTTGAGGTCTGTTACGGGTAGGACTGAGAGGGTTGTGACAGGAAATGGGTGAAATAAAGATCTGGTGTCATCTGTGTAATCTGCATTTATAGGTGAGATTTCTGGCAGGTAACTGCTGCTCTTCTGCTCAGAAATRTTAGCGTGGAAAGGGTGGGTTTGGGGAGAACTTAGGGAAGAGAGAGTTAAGTGATAATCAGGGATTTTTATAGCTAGAGTAACTTCTTGGGGTCATTGACTTCTGATTTATTAGGTTAGTATTACTGTAGCAAGATGAGAAGATACCTTGAGAAGGAGCCTGCACATTTAATGATGAGTTTGTTTTTTCTTTTGTGGCCTGGTTGACAAATGAGTCTTCTGAGGGACAAACCCCATGTATTTGCTGGTGTGGTGGCATCTGCAGCCAGTCCTGTGAGGCTGCAGGTAGCTACTGAAAGTTTTAAAAACACCTGTTTGAGCAGTGCTGTGGAACTCTTCCTTCTGAAGCTTCTGATTAGGAAAATTTTGTCTCTGTTATGCATGTTTTTTGTTTTTTTTTAATGACTGCCTTTAAAAAGTTCTAGCTCTACAAAAATGTCAGATTTTTTTTTTTCTTAAACACAAATATCCAGTGATATACAGTAAAGTCGGTATAAGATATTGATGCAACTATTTCATCATCAGGGAAAAAAAAGCCTGTGATTCACATACAGAGTAGTAAAACCTCTTTGGTTTACCCTGTGCCACAACAGGATAGGAGWAAAGACAGGAAAAATCAGCTTTTACCAAGCATGTGGATATGTTCTTGTATGAGTGTTCTGAGGAGAAATAAGTGAATGTTGGAAGGTGTCARTTTGTTTTTCCTGCCTCAATCATACAAACTTTTGTTACATTTTCCAAATCACTCTGAGTTGCTTTTTCCAGTTACAGACTGCTTACTTGTCTATAAGAAGTAAGATTTTAGAAGTATCATTTGTGCTTAAGTTACTTTGGAACAATCTTAGAAAAGTAAGATTCCGAAATGTCTTAGATTGCCAAAAYGTTTACTCTGCTTAAAGACAAACAAAACCAAAGCCAGCAAAAAAACCCCAAAAAACCCCAGGTATCAATTGGAGGTAAAAACCTAAATCTTGAGAATAGGAGACATTTTTTCTAATCTGTTTTAAGCTAGTAGGWAGCCAAAGAATATTTCTGTGGAGGTGGATTTGTCTTCTAATTTTATTTCTTAGGTGCTTACTTCTGAAATTTTGTTTAAAAACACTTRTTCTGGATGTCTCTTAAAGTTAGATTTTATTAATGTATTTATTTACCTAACTAGGTACAACAGGCTTATAAACTCTGGATTTCAGATTTARTTTTGAAGAGGTGGTGGAGAATTTAGCAGCTATAAAGGGTGAAAATCATGTAATGTGTGTATTAGATCTAAAATTGAAGTAACTAAATTTGAGTGATCTGTTGAGAAGATCAAGACTACTTGTAATTATTTTAAGTGGTAAAAAAAAAGATCCATGGACTGTACATAATGTTTTATGGACACTAAGCTCACCAAAGCAGAGTTTTTCATTATGTTTTCAGCTAACATTTATTTAGCTCATGAAGTTGTCATGAACCTGGAAAAAAACAACACTTTGGAATTAGGAAATACRTATTTTAAGAAACACAGTGTCAGAGAAAGGGGCTCAAACCAAATKTTGCTGTGCAGAAATGTGTTGCTGCTATGAGACTGAGCCACATATTTTCCTTAGAAGATGATGTTCTGAATGAACACTGCAGAGTTTTTTGGTCATGCTGGAGAAGGCATTTTGCTGTGAAYTATAAAATCAATTTTAAAAGTTTAYTCACATTTATTAAAATATTTTTCCTGACAAATCTATTCCTCAGAAATAATTGCTACATTGTTTTCTGTTGTGTGTGAAATCCGCTCTTGTCAGKCTGAATGAAGGCTTCTCTTCTAACTCAGAGATGCCAAAGCACGACCCTGCAGTCCATTGGATTGGCTTCAAAACCAGACTGGGCCTCTTGGATATTTAGATACCCTGGAGAGAATAGATAGAACTGGAAAGGAAGTTTTATCCCCAAATRTCATTCACCTTCCCTTGCAGAATGTGGGATGCTGTAAAACACYTCTGAAAACTCACTAAAGCTTTTGGAGCTGATKTTATCAGTAGAAGAGGTTGTTTTGTTGCTCACAAGTTACATTTTTCAATCTGTTGGTTCAGGTGAGAATGAGATTCTTCTAGGTATGGAAGAATGTTGTGTGGTAGAAATGCTTATCCAAAATATGACTGGGTAATTTGTGGAAGTAGAAAATTGCTGTATTTTTTCTGGAAGTTCCATTTGCGCATGGAAAAATTTCAGTACATTGATTTCTTGATAATAGTTTGAGGTCAGGAAGTTCCCATTGCTTACTCTGCTCCTGCAGACTAATTCTGTTGTGTTTCTGGGAAAAATATTTTAGAATACCTTTGTTAATGGGGAAGATCAAAAAGGAATATTAGGTGTCATGGTTTGATATTTGTTAGCTAGACTGTTGCACCTAGTTTTTTAAAGTTTTTAATTCAAAAGCTCARTAAACCTGCTGGCCTTTGGGATGTAGCAGAAATGGCTTTATTTGAACTCAGTCAGTGGGGGCACTGTTGCATCTCTTGAGTTGTTGGACACAATGCAGTGTTTAATACAAAACAGATTGCAGGGATTTGGAGTGAAATGCCTAAAAGTCAGGGCATAAGGGRAGGACAGAAACTCTGTCCTGCATAATCCTGGCTTTTAATGATGGTGCTGCAGTTGGGTGACAAGTTCAAGAGCAGACTGCTGAGTACTTTTACACCAGATTTATTTCCCTTTGTGTTGCTTCTCTTTGTCCAGGGGTTGTCAATGAGGCAAATCAGATTCCGGTTCGATGGGCAGCCAATTAATGAAACAGACACACCTGCACAGGTAAACAGCACAAGCAAGGCTAAAAAACTATTTGAAATTTACTGCAGGAGTTTATGCTTCAGTTCTCTGTCAAATACTTGTGTGAATGTGTATATTACTGATTTTTTTTTTTTACCATTATTTTGGTGTAGCTAGTTTAGGATTATTAGAAATGGAATCCAGGASTTTATTTAGTGTTTTGAATAATAAATCTGTATCACTGTAATAATAAAGCAGAAGAATCAAGTACAGTTTACAGATGGTGAAAAACTGTAAAACTGTCACTTTATTGAGTCATGGCTTTGAGAGAAGCATGGTAAGTTAAGAATTGAGTTTTTCTTGAAGCGATGGCTTTATTTTTTAGATAAAAGCTGGCTAGGATGTTATCAAAGATCCTGTTTGCAAGCTTGCATTTGCAATATAAAAGTAATTTTCTGTTGTTTGTTATCTGAAGCTATTTGAGCAGCATAAAATTCATGAACACAGTGAAGTTTGGGTTGTCTGTAAGTGTTTGAGTGAAGGCCATTCTAAGAACAGAATTCCCTTTGGCTCTAGAGCATTTTTCTGTCCTGCTCCACAGACTTTTGTTTAATCAGCCTGACCAAGTGATAGTTTTATCTGCTGTTCAGAACCACTTCCTATGAAATAASGGACTGTAGTTTTTAGTTCTGAATTTTCTAAGCTGTTGTTCCAAAGAATGTGCCTCTTACAGCCCCGATCTAATGCAGCTTTTCAACTTGCAATACTGATAATTGATGCAACAGGATGGTTTTCTCTCCATCCATGTTTCACTGAAACCTCAGGATCAGTCTGTTTATAGACTGGTTTGATTTCCTGAGCAGCAACTGAGTCTGTTTAGAAATGTAACTTGCATTAGTTACAGAAGATACTTCAGTTTTGGTATAGATTTTGTCAGTAGGTGATATTAACATCCCAGGAATATCAGCTRTAAAAATAAGGGTGAAAAAAGAATTGTGTTAATGAAGTGTTGCTGTTTCTCGTTAGAAGTTTGTTACATGCAAAGTGTATATTTTTTTGTGCTCGCTGATCCTTGGTTTTACTGCCTGGTTAGGCAGAGGCCTTAATTCCAGTCTGCTTCCCCAGTGCTGTAGCCATTTGAGCAGCAGCAGCCAAGTGGAATTGTGGCAATATTCTAAGGTAAACTGAGGGAGTAAATGGGAGAACAAAGGTGCAGTGGCAGAGCAGGCAACAGAATTCAAATATTATAAATCTGTTTCTTAGGAGTCACACAGTGTACCCTGAAGTTAGTATTAGAATTCATTCTAGGTCAACAGTTATCAACTGGCATTTTTTTTCCAAGCAGTTTCTTTGCCTTGAGTTAGTGAGCTTTGTTAAATGTGCAAAGAGATGGTGCTGGAGGGGAGTGGGGCTGCTCTGGTTAAGTTGCATAAAAAGTAAGCATGAAGTGAGGAACTGTAAGAACAACCCAGGCTGCTGTAGAGACGTGAGAAGAGTTGAAAGCCCTTTTTTCTCTTTTCTGCTGTAGTTGGAAATGGAGGATGAAGATACAATTGATGTGTTCCAGCAGCAAACAGGAGGAGTTTACTAAAACAAACACACAAAAAAGAACCTGCTACTTTCCTCTCCAGAACTGTGCTCCCACAGGCGACACTTCACAATTAGAAAAATGAGACTTGGTTCAGCCACATCCTGACTACTGCAGTATAGTTTTCTCTCTTCTCTCTGATTTTTTTTCCTATTCCTTTTATTGTACATAAAGTAACTGGTGATGTGCACAGACATAATGCATATTTTTTTTTAACTAAATGGCCAATGGTATGTTTTGATCAACATTTAATGGAGATGGGGTGGGAAAACAAACTGGTTCTGTGAAAATGCCCCTCTCTCCGTTAGTGGCATGCTCCTTCTACTTTTACAGAATCACAAAATAAGCCGAGTTATCTTTATATTCCAGTAAGTTATTTTGCTCTCACTGTTCAAAAACAAAAACCTTGCATACCTTGTTTGATTGGATAATTTCAATGTTTTTCTTTTATCATTGTAAAACCAAGGGCAATTTTATAACTTTTTTGTACGTAGCTGTTACATGTAGAGCAATCTCTGTTTAAGTAGGGGTAAATTACTCTTTAAAAAAAAAGGAAAAAAAAATCCTAGATAGTTTTCCCTTCAAGTTAAGCGTCTTGTTGTTTAAATAAACTTCTTGTTTAAAATAACCAGTTTTCTTTCTTTTTCTGTGGAGTAATAGTACTCAGCACCTATATTCTTTCTCTGCAGCACTTTATGCTTCCTAAATCTCACCTTTCTCTGTGGTAAGTAAGCATAATCCCCCTTGTCTAGGCAGAAATCTGTTGAAAAAGGAGAGGCTTCCTTGAGACCTGTTAGTCAGCAACTGAACTGGAAATGGAAGTCAGTTTTCTCTTAYTTCTTTTTTTGATTCCTTTTGATTTCTTTTTTGTTTTTGTGAATGTTCTGCTAAGCCAAAAATGTTTGATTAGGCAAACTGCAAAATGCTGAACTACTTAGTAATGCCTTTGGGTTGAGCTCTTTTTGTCAGTCTTTAATAGAAGCATCAATATTGTTGTTGCAGAAGTTTATTTAAGACTCTGTATTTGAATGCTTATTGATGTAAACATTAAGTTAAAGAGAGCAAATAATTTCATTAACCATTCAGTTTACCATGGTATCTAATGGGAGATGCTTGGAAATGTAAAGCAAAAATAAAAAATTGAGTTCTGTTTTTGGGTGTATTTAGCTATGGTGGTGGAGATTCCAAGCTCGGCTTTACCCCACTCTGCTGTTCTGCTTGGAAGAGGCTGGAAGTATTGAAGGGAGATATAGTGATGGTGGTGTTTTTTACATGTCTTTTCCACAGTTCTTGGGGAACTTCCTGGGGGAAGTTTAGAGATTGCAGTGAAATCCGTGGACACTCATGGAAGATTATATACTTGTCAAACCCACAGCCCCAGAGCATTCTCTGATGTCCTAGGAATGTSCCAATATTTTGTGTTGTTTGCAGTAAATGAATGTTCTTTTAGTATTAATTTGTTAGAAGAGGCCACTCTTTGGTGGCAGTTCTTGTAACAGTTAATTCAAGGAGTAASTACTACATGTGGGGCCTGTGCCTGCTTCACCTGAAAGTTTTGTGGCAGTATGATGGGTGTGTGCATTTTACAGCTGAGTTGTGATCTATTTGTCTTCTGTCAGGAGTAACACATTTGATGCTGCACATCTAATGGAGATGCAGGGGAAATTAACATCTGTTTTTAAGTTGCTTTTGAATCTGTAACTGAAGAATGTAATCTAATGTGTGCCTCTGTTTTAATTCAAGAAAATGCTACTGCTAAGCAGATTATTTCTCATTCTGGGATGTATCTTGTAGACTTCTGTGGTGTTTTGCAGGATTGAAATTCTCTCTTGTGAACAAATGTTTACATATCCAAACTCTTAAAAGGCCTAGAAAAAACTGCCTTGAAGGAAAAAAAGAGTGTGGTGGAAGAATATATTTCAACACCTTTCCWAGGTTACACACGGAATACGTATTGCTCTTTGGCTTTAGAATCTCTGGCTTTTAAGATGGCTAATCTTCTGATATCAGTGTATAAAATTCTTTCAACTTGATGTCATGCCAAGACTTTTCCCAGGAGAAAGCTGTCTTTATCTTGTTTGGCCAAAAAAGATGTTTGGACTTGCTTTAGTTTCTGAAGAAAGGGTGAGGTCTCCTTAAATACTTTTTTTTTCAGCTCAACTTAAGACTGTGAAGCTCAAAGCTCCCTGTTGTATCTTGCCTTGTACTTTTTTATTTCCTGAGGCAACAGAAGTCAARTGACAGGTACTGAAGAGCTTTTAAAAACAATGTCTTCATTTCCTGAATTAGTGGAGTGTTACTTCATCTGTCGTATGYTTGTGTGCAGCATTCACCTACATTGCTCTATTTCTCACATCTTTTTGCTGTTTGCTGGGCTTTCTCTTATTCCTGAAATGATTCCTTCAACAATGCTGAATGGTGTTAGGTTAGGTGGTGACTGCAGCCAAAAACTTAAATTTTTTTTTCGAAGTAGTTTATTTTTCTTTCTTAAATCAAGAAAGCATCTCAAAGAACTTCAGTGACTTGGTTTCTCAGGAACCTCAAATGTTGAATTAGTGTAGCAAACTGAAGTGGTCTGATTATGGTTCTGATATATAACACATTTGTGTAACAGTAATGCGGAAACGCGGATCTTTTTTTTAAAAAAAAAGCTTTTTTTTAAGAACTCTTCTTGCATGGTCTTGCAAATAGTCTCCTTATGTCAGTACTTGTTTTTGTCTGTACTCCTGGGATATAAATTCCCTTGTGGATTCCTGATTGCTGGAACCTCAGTGGTTTTACTGTGACTACAGTTAGCTGAAGGAGCTACTGCTAGGGATGATTATTTGGAAGTGGTATGGAGTACAGGGATATGGACAATTCGGATCAAAATATTTTGAGTTCACTGTTTTGTGACAGTTTCCATGTTTACACTGGACTTCTGGAAGTCCRTGTTTCAGAGAATAAAGGAAAACTGGGCAAAGAGGTCTCCCAGGCTAGTTGGGAGGTAAGTTCTTCATGTTTTATTAAACAGCTGGGATATTTGAAGAGCCTGGGAAAATTGTATTATTACCCACAATTTTCAAATAATGTGTTCTAAAGTGATTGSCATTCAATTTAGTTAATATTTCTCCCATGGTTTTTAAATGAAAAAGGATGGAGTAAGTCATAATTGGATACAGTCCCTGGGTGAGTTCTGGTGGATGKTTGGACCCTGCCTTCAGCCTGTGCTGGGGTTTTAGTCCCTCAAATGTGTAATGGACATGACCAGTTATTTAAAAAAAGGTAACCAAAATTGTGTCAGGTACCTTAAGTAAGGYATTTTTATTCATGTGAGGGGAGATAATGACAGATTGAAATCACAGCAGCTTTAGGTGGTCAACASCTGAAAATCAGTGTTTTATTGTATCTGCACAGTGGGGATCACAGCTGCTCCAGGTGGGAGTCAGTATCAACTGGGCTGAGGTGCTGGTTCAGAAGGGTTCAGGAGTGCAAGGCTGCTCTGATGCAGATTCTTCCAAGCTGCCAGGACTGTAAGGAAATACTCAAGTGGTAACATGAGAGAGATKCCTTTACTAGTGTATGGAGGTGTTCTTAACAAAAGAAAAATCCCTGAAGTAACACTCAGATAATTGCTGCTTCAAGATAACTGCAATATCAGAACAGAGACAGCATCTCTGCAAGGGTTAAGGTCAAAGTGAGATGATTTTTCAGCAGGAATTTTCCTTTCTAGTACCTTCACTTCATTACTTCCGAGTCAGTGTAACGTAAGTGCTGTCGTTTGCCTGGTGGATGCTGGTTCTATTGTGTCTCTTACTGCAACATTAATGAAAAGGCATAATGTGACTGACTCAAAGAGAGGAGACTTCCTAGGCTTCAGCCAGCTGGAAATAACTGAATTTCTAAGGAATAACAWTTTTTTTCAAAGCTAAAAGTGAAAAGATGCCTCCTTGGTCATTGTRGAAATGGGGAACAAAGACACGCGGACCTCCTTCTTGCTTGCTCCAAAGAAAATCGTTTATTGCCAAAAACCAAGCTTTTTTATGCTCCAAACCTAAGCAAGACAAGAATGCCTTTGGCTGCCTGCCAMTGTGGCATCACCATCCATGCSTCCCTCTACCCATCCACCTCGACCATGCAGGGTCTGCACGTCTCTCCAACCAATCACTGCCCCAYGCATGAGGTGACCACATGCTAATTCYACAATTTATTCTCTGGTTCTATGACTTTAGCTGAACCGTTCCCAGAGTGCTTTCTGATGAGCAAGAGYGAACAGAAGCTGCTCCCTGCCTTTTCAGCAACATCATTCCATTAATTGCTGGGAGGTGAGGCAAGGAAAGGCTCTGGGTGCTGGGGCTGCCTGCCCCACTCCAGTGCCAGCCTCTGCTCCTACAGCGCTCCTGCAGCAGGGTGGCACTCGCCAGATACCCCCGGGCCCTGGTCAGGCATCCTTTAGCTAAAAATAAATACTTTTTTTTATTCTTTTCACATGCTGGCTCCCCTCTGTTCCACCGCTTCATCTGGCTTCCTGGCTGTGGGATCTTGTGTGAAGTTCCCTTTAGCAGTGTCCTCAGTTCTTTGATAACTTTATAATCTGAGTCTGTGAACAGGGAGTCAGTTTGGTACAAAAATAACAGGACAAGCAGTAACAACCACCAAGCTGCCCTCTTCCATCGCCTCCTCTCTACATTTCCAGTGTTATGCTACAGTGTCATCGTTCTGCAGAGGGTACAAATCTGCCTCTTGTTCGGGATCTGAAGGTCTGGGGTCAAGAGGACCGACTGGGCCAGCATTTTCATGAAGGTCAAGCAGCATTGTAGGGGATGGCTGACCTCAGAATCATCCAGTACGTAGAAAGTGGGTGGGTGCAGGAAGGGCTGAGGGCTCAGGGGAATCAGTTTCTGAAGTCGTGAAATGGTGGACCTCTGTGGGTCATGAAATGGTGGACCTCCRCACAGGTTTCTTTCAGAGTCACTATAAGGGTTCCCCCATGTGGTGAGGTGCTTGCAAACATTGGTGTCRCCATTCCTGGAAATACCAAAGACTTTCTGTCCTACTGCCTGCCAGGCCTCCAACTGAAACGCCCAGTAGAAGGGAATTCTTTCACATGTGTGGATACCCAATCCAGCAAGGTACTCAGCTTAGCACTGGAGATGTATTTTGCCAATGTAGGACCTATCATAGCAGGTTTAGGCTCTGTCTTTGTTCCAGGGACATTTTTCCTCCCATAATTCCTCTACTGCTCACCTCGTAGGTGATGGGCATTTTGGGTTTCTTTATTGAACATTTCTGGTTGATCAACTCCTGTGGTTCAGTGGAGGTTGCCACTGGTGCAGAAGGAAGTGGTGGYATTGCACTTCTCCTGGGTGATTAGGATGTAGGAGTGTGAAGATAAATGGAAGATGGCATTTTGATCCCTGTTCTCAGTTTTTGATTGACCTCCAAGATGCTCCATTACAGSGGTTTTCTGGTTTCTTTCCTAGCAGCATGGGATGGTGATCTTACTGTAACATGGAGGTGCTGGAGCCCCACCCTGTGTTTATGGAATTGCTGAAGTCCCTTTAAGGGAAGAGTTTTCCCTTATCCCGGAAGAATTTCTGCTTACATGGGAGGGGTGCTGTGAGAGGAGTGGCTGAGTGGCAGCAGAGATCTCRGGAGGGAAGGTCAGCAGGTGCTAGAGAAGGACAAGGGATCTGTGTGAGTCAGTGAGGAGCTACAGTCGGAATGGGGACTGTGGGAAGAGCTGTAGGTTTAAAGTTAATCCCATATGAGCACGACATTGGAGCACTGGGGAAAGACKAATGTTGTGGAAGCACAACTCACAAATAGAGTTTCTCTGTTGGAAAAAGATATTCTACAGGGGGACATAGATGCAAAGGATACCCTTTGGGGTGAATCTTGTGCTGGTTTTGKTGGTTTAGATCCCTTCCAGCATTCAGTCCATGGATTCCATCAAAGCACATCTGATGGCCGTGCAAGGGCTCTTGAAGGACCACYTGATTAAGAAAACTTCACCATTTAAGTAAACTGGAACAAAACAAAAACAGGAAACTGACTTCCCCTTCTGGTGATTTTTGTCTTTTTCAACTAAAGGGCAACACTTTGTAGTACATGACCAGGCTTGGTGGTGCTGGATACCCAGACAAGAACAGCAGCATGATTTGGCCAATCTGCTTTTTTTTTTTTTAATTTTTTTTTTGTGTTGTTCAGAGCTACATCTCTGCAGCCCTGAGAGGAATCTGGGCACTGTGGGGCAATTCCCCTTCCCAAACAGTGACAAACTGCTGAGAACTTTTTCTGAAGATATAGAGAGGTACCAGAGGAACTTTTCCAAACTCTTGCAAGTGATAGCATAAGCTGGGTAGGACAAACCATCAGATCTGTAGGAAATTGTGTTCCAYTCAACCTCCTCCAGGCATCACTACGGATGCATGAATCTGACAGCTGCAAATCCAGCTGTGGCAAGGATTGTTTATTAGCTGGCACTTTATCTTCAGTTRTGGATGAAATGGGGCAAGAGAAGACTGAATCAAAGCCTCTTTCTTGTACCATRTGCTTGGAATAAGGAAGGAATGCTCAGTGACTGCCGTAAGTAGCAGAGACTGGCATGAAGAAACTCTTGGTCACAGAAGGATGACCAAGCTGAGGCTTTTCTCAAACCAATGGTATTTTTCCTTGCCTAACCCTTGCATTTCCTGGAGTCTTGTTCAGACTTCAGATGCTTTGTGCATTCCTTGCTGGTGGAATTTCAACAACAGGTGGAATTGTTTGGTGCCTGAGTCTTTCAGACAGCTGCTGAGAATTGTTCTGGTCAAATGTCATCATCCTGAGATGGATTGTAAGCCCAATTTATGAAGTGGTCATCTTCATAAACTTCTTCATCTTGTTATAAATGAATAAKCAGCAAAGCAGCTTTTATTTAAGGGCACCTGCAGCTAGGCCTGTGAGAGATCAGTGGGGCCCCTTGGACACACTGAGGGTTTAGAACTCTAAAGCTTTGTGTTAAAACTGGCTTTGTCACAGGGAACAGGTTTTTCTACATCCTGCCTTTAAAAAAATGGCTCTGTGTGTGTCTCAGGGGTACAGATTAAAGAGTCAAATCCTGTGGGTTTGAATAAGGAGCATTTAGATGACAAAATACTTCTKCAAGTTCCTGAGAGAGCAGATGCTTACCTGTGTGCAGGTAGGTATCATTTGACTTCTTAAAGCCCAGGCCTAAGGGATAATAGAATTAAAACAACTATGTCATGTTACTTAAAATTTCCCTTTAATCTACCTCTAAAAAGATGTGATGCAAGAGAATTCCCTGGGGATCTAAATAGTGGTTGGAGCTTTTTAAAAGTAAACAGGATTTCTTTTTTATTGATTCTACATTAGAAAAAATAAAATACTGTGGTCCTGTTTGTGTATATTTAACAGTTCTACTTTTTCCTGATCTGTGTTAATTCAGGTGTTGGACATCTCATACTGTACATAGAGGGAAGTAGCATAATCTTTGTGTTCTCCAGACCGAAAAGGAATACTTCTCTGTAGAAAGTGTTTTGGGGGTATTAAGGACCTTTGTTAGTGGAAAATGGAAGGGGTGACTGTAACAGATGGATTTCTCCCCTTCTCCCTCCTTTATGCAAGTGCTGATTAAAATAATGTTGGTGATGCATAGATTTTGGAGTAAAAGTGGTGGTCAAGGAAATGTCTATGGAAGTTGCAGAGAGCTCCCAGCCACCAATGTGACAGACAGGTCAGCAGGCAATATAATATGTGTGGTTTAAACTCTGTGAGTTTTGTGCTGGTGTTGGTGGGTGATACACTCCAACATGTGCAGCCTCGTGCTTTTGACAGCCGGGTAAGCAGCACTGCTGGGCCTTATACTCCAGCTACACTAGCCAAGCTGGAACTCAATTTTCATGCAATAATCCATAGTAATACACTGAGAGTGCAAATTATTTTTTTCTACCCTTTGTTTTGAGCTGTTGGTGTTCCCCACCAGCCCTGTGGCCCTGCAGGCCCTTGGCTCTGTCTCAGCCCTCGTGGGATCCAATCCCCAAAGCCACAGCAGCCTTGTGCCAACACCTCCCGCACCGCGATGGCCTCAGCCCGGTTTCTCCCTGTACCTCGGAACTGCTCCGTGACATCTCTGAGGCATCTGCGGGGCTGGCACGGGCCGGGCACGGCAATGAGTGTGAGGGAGCCGGGCCTTGCGCGGCCAGAGGGGTGCCAGGGGTGGGCGTTGTGCCGCGATGGTCGCTTTGGTGGTGTGCGCTGGGCAGTATCTGTGGGGACAGAGGCCATGCGGGGTGGCGGGGGCAGCGATGGGGCAGTGATAGAGCAACACAACTCCCACACTGCCCGACCCCTCCCGGGCCCCTCAGAGGGGCAGCGCCGCGGGGACTTTTGTCTGGCCTCATGTGCAGCTGAGCCAATCACAGCTCGCCAGAGGTGAGCGACAGCCCTCCCGCCAATCACCAACAATGGGAGCCGCTGCCCTCAGCCAATCCCGGCAGAGCAGACGTATTGCTTCACCAATGGGCTCTCAGCAGTGAGGCAAGCTGCTCCGGAATAGACAGGGAGGCGGGCCCAAGAGGAGATTGGCAAGGGCACTGCCCAATAGAACCTCGTGACTGGGTTTGAATCGTCCAATGAGATGGCCGCAGGTGGGCGGGGCTTGAGGCACATATAAAAGGCGCGGCGGTGCGGGCGGCGGCCGCAGTTGTCACCGGCAGCGGCTGCTCGGGGCACGAGGAGCTGCCCCAGTCCCTGGCACCGTTCGTGTACAGAGCCGTTCYCTCGGTCCGGCCCTTCAGCCATGACCACCACGGCCACGTTTTCGGGCATGGACCCCAATGGCAGGAACAGCTCCAGGTCCGCAGAGGGGTTGGGGGCCGCCGGGACCCAGGGGGCGGCGGGGCTGGGGGTCCCGGGGGGCGGCATGTCCGGAGCGGCTCTGGAGCGGTGCTGAGGCGCGGTGCTAGGGCGGAGGCTCCGGCCGGGCCCGGGCTGTGGGTGTGCGGTTCATCCCGGGTGGATCGGCCGGAGGCGGGGGCGGCCGCGCCCACCCGGATTGGGCTGCGGGGACATCCCGGGGCCGCGCCGTGCCCGGGGAACGGAGGTGCGGGAGCTGCCGAGACCCGCCCGGGCCGCTCGGTGCGGCCTCCGTCGAACAAAGAAGGGAGGCGATACCCCGCCTCGCCGCGCAGCCACGGCGCGGGGGCGGGGGGCACCGCGCCCCTCCGCCCGCCTGCCTTCCCCCATCGCCGCGGCCCCCGCGCCCCTCGGCCCCGCGGAGCCGCCGCGGGCTGGGTGGGGCCGGGCGGGCTCCATTGTCTGCTCTGCTCTGCTCTGCTCTGCTCTGCTCTGCTCTGCTCTGCTCTGCTCTGCTCTGCCCGGCCCGGCCCGGCCCCCCCGCCCCGCTCTGCCCGGGGGGGCCCGTTGGCTCCCGGTGCTGCCGCTGCTCGGGGCCGGGGTCGCGCCTTCCCCGCTCCCGTGGGCGACCCGGGGCTGGGAGGGGCGGGGGGGGGGAAGCGGAGCCTGTCTGGAAACAAAGAAAACTTGGCAGGTTGGTCRGGAGGAGATGCACGGCGCTAGGTCGGGCACCCGCGGTCTCAGGAGCCACAGCTGGAGAGGATCGTGTCGTTTTCCACGCTATCGTGGTTTTTTTCTGTAAGGTTTTGGCCTGACAAAGCGGATGCTTCCTGTTTCCTTTTGGCTTTTCGAGGTGCAAAGCGAAAAAAAAAAAAAAAAAGACATTTATGAAGCGTGTTTCCAATCCTTTTATCAAAGCTCGTCTTGGAGCTCTGGGTGGATTTTCRGTGAACATCACTGGGTATCAGGTGGAATTTTAACAGCATTTCTTTGCTTAGTGTTACACATGGCTTTCATAAAGCGGGTTACAGCATCTCGAGGCTGCRAGAGGCTTCTAATAAAATCTATCAGCCTTTACCTGAGGTTGGTAAAAAGGATTATTCCTTTTCAACTCTTTGAGTGATGGATTTTTTTCCCCCTTCAGTTGCTTCTTCTRTTAATGTCATTAAGACTGACAGTGGAAACTGTTGAGCCCTTAAGAGAGTACTGGTTTCACTGCTCTGGTAAAAAGAGGTGATCTAAGGTGTGGGAACAAGCCCTGCTTTGAACAGACTGTTCTTCAGATTAGCAGCTGCAACGACTATAACTGAGAAAATAAACCCTTTACATGTTTTCTCAGAGAAAAAAAAAAAAGATAAAGGAGTGAATCAAGTCTATTACACCATATCTTGGTTCAGTAAGGAGACAAAACAAGTCACAATAAAACATGCTCTGCAGTCTCCTGGGATCCTYCCATTAGCAACTGAGCATTAGTAATTCCTAGGAGAAGAATTTCATAAGGAAAAGTATTTTTCTGGTTAGCTAATACAAAATATCCGTGTCACACACCTTTAGGAATTTCCCTTGATGTTGGGGTGTTTGAGCTAAGAAGGCTGGAGAAGCGTTTTTGTGTTGCAGCTGGAATTGTAACGGGTACGAATTCTCTGAAGATGTGAATTGTACAATCAAACACGCTTTTTGTGTTGAATTCCCAGGTTTGGAGCATTAACAAGCTGAATGCTGCTTCCTGTTGTAACTTTGATTTATTAAATTGTCTTTTAAGAAGAAGAAGGTTGCACTATCCTTAGTTTGTTCATTTTGGATCCCTGGATGCCTTGAAAGCCTAAGAAACCCTAGTTTGTACTGGTATCCTCACATCTGTCTGGGGTTCTGATAGTTGTCACACACAGTTTCATTCTCCTGGCTTTTCTCTGGCTTCTCCAGCTAACACAAGATCTCATGCYTAAGAAAATAAGATCAGGAGGAGTTTACATTTCAAGATTTATTTTGCTGCAGCTGTTCACTTTGGTAGGGTTCTGCAGGTTGGAAAGCAGACTGCAGGCAAGCTTTTGAAGTACTGAGCAGGCTTCGTTTGTGTCTGTCTAAGAGCAGATTTTGTTAGATTTAGGTTACATATCTGGAGCTTTGTACACGTGTCTCTCCTAATAATAGTCAACTTCAGAATGTTTAATTTYGCCTTTTACCTCCAGACCAGCAGCATGCTCCAGACTTGAGACTTTTCCTGAGGAAACAAATCTAAATAAAGGCTGTAGCCCCCAGCCAGTCAGTGGTGCAACCAGTCCTTTGGCTCAAACTTCAGTCTTTGCTGTGCTGCCAGTTTGAAGATTAATATTAACCTTCCCAGGGTTCTCTTTAAAAAGCTGGAATTTGACATGTCCAGATAGTTATTTTTATTATTTGGCTCAGGCTGGTGGGAGCAGCCCTTGGTGTGACATCAGATGGAGCCAAGGGCACGAGCARAGAGCGCGGGAGTGTTTTATTTTTGTAAGTGCCACTGAAGAGCAGTGGAGATACAGTGCCAGGATGAAATTCTGGCAGGAGCTTACCTGGGTRGTTGAARTGATGTGCTGGGASTGCAGCTGGGGGCTGGCACAGGGTRTAAAGCTGCCTCTCTCCACAGAGTGCTGCGTCCTCCCGGTGGCGGCTCCAACTTCTCCCTGGGCTTTGATGAGCCCAAAGAACARCCCGTGAGAAGGAACAAAATGGCATCCAGCATCTTTGGAACTCCTGAGGAGAACCCACCTTCCTGGGCTAAAGCATCAGGTAAGGCTGTAGTGCTTTGTTTCCACGTCTGGTGACAGGCATTGATTCATTTTGGGGCTCAGCCTGATGCTGCTGGTGGCTGTGTGGRAACCAGAGTTCCCTTCCTCCTTGGTACTTTGGGGCTATAAATGATGTCTGCTTGCAGGGGATTGTTTATTTTACATTAATTTCTTCCAGAAGGGTTTATTTTATGCAAGTGTTGGGCGTGTTGCAAGCAGAAAATTGTATTTTGGATGCAATTTCTCCAAGTTAAGTCACAGTGCAGTGGACCTGTGTMTTACTGTTTGGAGTAGCACTGATTGGTGTTGATTATTCGAGGAAGTTACACCTCATGTTCTCACAGCTGGGATTAAGCTTCCCTTTCCCTTTKGCCCTGGGACTCCAAATTCCATCTGTTTAAATGACACCCTCACTGCATGTGGTGCTGCTGCAAGACAGTAATTTGTGAGTTACTCTTTAAAGGACCAGGACTTTTTAAATGGCGAAGCTTTAATTTAAAAGAAAAACCTCCCCCAAAGTACCCAAAAGTCAGTTTATCCTGAAACCTGATTAAAATCAATCTCTGCTTGTAGGGGCTAAGCCAGGTGAAACCAGAGACAGCTGTGAATCGTCTGGGCCACAAAGAACAAACTCAACTGAGGCAAACTGTGGAGACTTTGTAGATCCCAAGGTCAGTACTTGACTACAAAGAGCCTGATAATGGACAATTCACACTCTGTGTGGGATTGATTTATCACGGATGTTCACACAGTTGGAAGCATTGTAGGAATCGAGGCCTTTCTATCAAATCTGTTTTTTCCTGAAGGTTCCCCCTTCCATCTGATACTCGCCCAGTATGCTGAGGAAGGAAGGGCTGGATTTTTCACAAGGGCCACTTTGTAGAGCTCTTAACCCATCTCATTGCTGAGACGGTAATGAAGTGATGTGAAATCTAATTTCAGCTCTGTGTGTGACTGTGGGTTTAAACATCTTTAAACAACAGTTACTACAGCAAACTCTGCATGGGGCTGAGAAAGGACTTGGTTTCACATCCCAGCAAATTCTTACCTCAGTAGCATCAATGCTTGTTTTATTTGTTACTAGGTTTAATAATACTATCAGGTGTGTTATTTTCTATATAAGCTGTTTATTTGGTAGCAATATGGAGCATTTGTATTGTTAATGGTGTTAATTAAGTGAAATTTGCTAGATGGGTGATTACATTTAATAGGAAAAACAGGGTTCTTATATAGTCAATTCAGTAAAAAAACAGTAATTCCTCTGAACTTACGTAGGAATGTAGAGTAGCCTGTACTTGCATTAAGAAATATTAGTGGAAAAAAGAAATCTTGTTTAAAACTCTCCAGCCTTAAATTGGGTAGGTAAATAGTTGATCTCAAATATTGTAGCAGACACCTTTTATCTTGGGTTTTATTTTGTAATTGGCATCAAGCACCACAATCCATTTTTGTTGTTAATAGGAGCTTTAARTCACAACACTGTTCTTCATTACAGAAAATGTCTTCTTGTTTCAATTTAGCAAATATGAGTGAGTTTATTTTCTGTGGTAACAGCTATAAATTGAACTGTKTAGTCTAATTCTATTTTCCACTAAATTGTTTTAAATACTGTGGTTCTCAGCTTTGCAAACAGATTCTTCCCACGTGGAATATTTTACTTTTATGCAGTAATTCAGCTGAAACCAGCAGAAGCTGGAGMTGGTGAACTGTAGCCCAGCCTGATATTTAAGTCGATACATTTGTGTCAGTTTTTGTGCTTTTTTTATCCCAATTTCTGCAGTTTCACTGTGTAATTAGCAATGTTAAATCCCTTAAAGCTTATAAACCTGATGCCATTGAGGAGCCTTGGCTGCTGCTGGGAGACTCCCTATCTTTGTGTCAGGCTGCAGCCTGTGAACAGATTCAGCATGTAAAGAATGTTTTAACTGTTTATGTAATGAAGGAAACTTCATCAGGAGCAGAAAAGCTGATCTGTATTTCACAAATGAAGTTAAATACCCTGGACAGAACAAATGCTTCTGGCCTTGCCAACAGATAAATGTTTGGTGTTGCAAAGAGTTGCTCAGCACAACTCTTGCTTGTTGCTGTCAGTGTAAYTTTGTTGTCCTTCCTGCTGGGCAGTGGGAATGTTCTGGATCCTGTTAGTGCTGCCTGATGTGGAATGCTCTGTACAAGAAAATGTTCACACCCACCTGTGTCCTTCACTGTGGGAATAACAGATGTGCCACATGTCATCAGGATCACTCCAGTATCTGTTTACACTTGCAGAAAGTGTGTTAGGTAAATGAAGAGCTGGTTAAATTATAAGTCCATCTGTAAGAAATGGTGCTTATAAACCCTTGATTTCAATCTGCAGAACTATGAGTGCAGAGCCTACCATGCCATGCTGAGATCTGTCCCTCAGAGCCCATTGCTGGTCTAAAAATGCCTTTCTGAGTTTGTGGTGTGACACAGAGCAGTGTGCATGGTCACACCATGGAGGAGTGAATATCCACTTCATGAAATGGGAAAATGCTTTGTGAAAAATGAGATGTAACATGTTCCTCTCTCTTTTCCAGGGAGGAGATGTTGGTGGTGAAATTTTTGGTGAGTAACTTCCTTGGAGTCCTCTAGTAAAAGCCTTTTGCAGATGTTTTTGCAGTAGAAGAGCATGTAGAATCTAAAAAGGGTCATTTGTGAGGAGAGAGGCAGCCTGGAATCCCTCAAATCAAGAAAGTGACTCCTTCRGTGGAGTGTGGGCATGGAGTGAGATGGAGTGCTGTTCTTGTCAGGGTAAAAAGGAGAACAGTCCCATTGGTTTATTTTGCCAGCAGCCGTTGCTGTCAAGATTTATCCAAATACTACAAGGTAAGGTGGAGACTCTCACAAAGAGTTCAGTGATTGAAAGTTAAACTTGAAACTGCTGTTGGAGTTACTTATATTTAAATAGGATAGTCAACATAATTGGTTTTAGTATAGCAGTTTCCTTCTTTCCCATTGTCTTCTCACACAGCAAACTCCATATTCACAGAAAAAGTAAAACCCAGCTCCTGCATCTGGAAGTGTCTGCATTAACCAGCTCTTAACTTCCTGTTGCTTTTTAAATGCTGATTTTTTTTTTGCCAAGGAAGTTGATCTGCATACTGCAAATCTCCTGTAAACAGAGGCATTTCCCCTTCAAGTGCTTTTTCCAGCTTTCAGGCTGGAAATCTCTCCTTTTCAAGATTCACTTCAGGAATAGCTGACTTCCTGATGACAGGAATGTGTGTGTTGACTGCTGCTTTCCAAGTGCTACTTTCAACACCTAAGAGTGGTGGGAGATCCCTGAGGCCATTAGCACCTCCATGTCCTGAAAAGACTTTCSTTTGAAGGGCGGGGGAGAGCTTTTCCAGAAGGTTTTCACCACCTCTGAGTGGTAYCTATGCCCAAAATAAGTGTTGTCTCTCTAACAGGCCACTTCTAATCCAACTGTACAGGCTCTAGGATTTCTTTCCCTTGTCTGTCTGATCTTAATTAGCACTGTAGGCATCCCGAGTTTACGCCTTGAGTAGGAGGATGTGGTTTGCTAATAGAAGAAACCTGCTCTAAGGGCTSTGCTGCTTTTCCTGGTGTTTGTTTAAACCAGCTCCCCACAGGGCAGAGGAGAGYCCACAAACAACAGGGAGGTGAGAAGGGCTGGGATGCCAGGAAGCAGAAATAGTGTTGCCTGGGATCAGGACAGCTGGCTCAAACTTGGAGTGCAAAGCGATATTCCTGACACTTTTTAAAAGTTCACATTTTCACAGGTGTTGTGTTTGTGTTTTGTTTTGTTTGTGGCAAGTGACAGTGAAAGAAGTTCTTGCCAAGGRTCAGGTAAATCCATGCTGGGAGGTGGTTAAAAAACAAGTGTTATGGGAAGTAACTGGGGTTATTTCCTGTTGTGGCCATGACTGAAATTTAAAATTTTGAAGGTGGCCAAGATGAARTGAAAAGGACAGGCAAAGGTTTGAATGTTAAACTTCCACTGATTGTACTTAGGAAGGAGTAGAAAGTAATGCCTCCTGGAAATGGTGTGTGTAGGAGATACCTGAACATCCGGATGGATTGTTAAATTAATTCCTACCATTGATAGCTTTGGGTGTTGTGGCTCAATGGAGCCCAGTCTTGCTGAGCTGGCTGTGTCAGTCCTCCCCTGGATATTCCTGCTGTGGGATGGCAAACCCGGGCTGCTGAACATCCCACCTGGCACCCCTGTGACTGTACTGGCCTTGCAGAGCTATCTCTGGGGTTTAGAAAGGGCTCAGTGAATGCCTCTCCAAGCAAAAGCTGTCTGCTTTTGACAAATTCACAGCACAACCAGATACTTAATAGGTTTCTGTCATTAAAAAAACTGTTTATTCTTTTGAATGAACAGAAAATTATTCTCTGTGTGTAACTGATTATAAAACCCCAAGTAGGTGTCAGGYGGGATGTGTGTATTTATTAATCAAGCCTGTCTAGGGTAAAAAAAAAAACTATTTTGCAGTAGGGCTCTTGTTTCCTCTTTGGGAATTGTAATTCCTTTCTGGGCATCAGAGTTCCCAGTGGCTTGCAGTGCACTCAGCCAGGAGCTGTTTCAGGGATTAGACCCTTTCTGAGAAATGAAGAGCTTTAATATTTTATCTGATCCTGTCGGTTTTCTCACTTCAGTCACCAAGTTGTCAAACTTACCTTGATCGTGTGGCAAGTGCTAATGTATATCAGCCACACAAAGAGCTACAGAAACTTCCCCCAAAGCCTCCTGTGCTGGCAATTGTTGTTTCTTTTGTGATTCAGGGGCAGTGTGAGCCCCTAAATGGATGCGAGCAGCTAAGGAGAATTAGACAGTGCCCGATTGAGTGAATGTCAGCAGGGTCTGACTGTMCATGACCCACAGGAAGGTGGAGCCTGGACCCTGCACAGTGCAGGGACTGTCCCCAGACAGGGACATTCAGCACYTGCTGAGTCAGCAGGCACTGGGACACAGCAGCTCCAGGAGCTTCAGGCTTAAAAATGTGGTGTTCACTGTTTGTTTGAGCTGTGCTGGGTTAATGAGCACAGCAGAGAGCCTGTGCTGGAGATTATTCCTGTTTGTATGGGGGCTGTGCTCAGCTGCTGCAGTTCTTTGGGATTATTGTAAGCATGGATACAGAGGGGGTTCAGTGGACACAAGTGGGATTTTGGTGCTTTGATAACATTATACAGCAATGATTATTGAAAAAAAAAAAACAAAAAAACCAGAGTTGCCTGAGGATGTGAGGAAAGCTGCTGCTGGGGGGTAGAAAGAATAAGGAGGCAAAGGGCAGGACTAGTAATTGCCTTCTAGGTTGGAAAAATGAGCCATGGAGGTGATGCTGGGGGTAGTTTTATTCTGTGCCTTCATCTGTGACCTGGAAAAGGCAATGAACAGTGAAGTCTCCAATTTTGTTGGAGATATTAAACTCTTTCAAGTAGTCAAATTGTGCTGATGATGGGAAAATCTCACTGTCAGAAGGACTCAGCTAAATGAGKGAGGCAGGTAAAAAGGCAGGATAATCCCTGTGTAAGCAAGTGTAAAGTAATGAATCTTGAGGGGGGAAAACCCTAAAACCTCAACCATGGCAGCCTTATGTACAGCTTTGGGCTGTGGCCCTCCCAGGATCTTCCTCGAGCCCTTCCCCTTGAAATTCTTTGAGGTGTTTGAAGGTGCCAGCAAAATACTGAATGTCATCAGGAAGGGGATGGAAAATTACATCATTTTTTGTGTAAACAATGATAATACCCTCATATCTTGAATTGTGTACAGTCCTTGACACGTGAAGAGCTGGAGGTTRTAGTGAAGGTGATGAGGAAAGTGATGGGGAAAATGAAGGGGTGCAGTGGCTGCTCTGTGAGGGGAGAGGGGAGTAAATGTGCCTGTACAGTTTGCAGAGAAGGCTGGGGGAGGGAATTTGATCAAGATTTTCTGAACTATGAAGCTTAAGGTGAACGTGCAGCTGTTCTTTGAATTCTCTCAACCCAGAATTAGTGATCATTGGATGAAACAAAGGGGTCTGTTSAAAACAGGTGAGGTTCATCTTCACCCTTAATACCAGGAGCTTCTTGCAGCTGACTGGGGCCTTTGGCTCAGAACTGGTCGTGCTAATCTGTAAAAATGTGAGCTGCTGATGTACTTGCTGTACTCAATTGTCAACAAAGCAGATACATTAGTTSTTTGCTCCAGTATCTAAAGTGCTTCCTTGTGAAGAATTCCTTCTGTGCCCTGTCTTCGCTTGTGGCTGCTCAGAAGGATTTAAAATAAACTATCACATACTCCCCAGGGAGAGTACAATCAGAGCCTCCCCATGCATGGCTGTTCCCTGGTGTGTCCTGTGTGAGGAAGCCTCAGAAGTGTCAGATCCTCTCCCCTCCTATGAAATTGGGGATGCAGTCTGAGCTCTCRCTGGTGCTGCTCCCAGCACCTGCTCAGACTCGAGTGACAATTGCCAGAGTCACAACGCTGACTGATTATATGTACAAGACTTAAGCCCTAAGCTGCTTGTCATTAAAAAAAATGAATTGCTGGTGTCCTCTAATAGCAGCTGGGTRAATGTGGCTCTTGCTGAAGGCCTCAGAGTTGATCTGAGAAACACTTCTGAGAGCTGAGTCTGCCCTGCCAGTGGGTGACAACATTGGAGTGTTGTCTGTACCCCTGGACAAAACTGAGCTTCCGTCTGAGCCAGCCCAAACAYCTGGCTCTCATCATCCACATCAAACACTTTAAAAGCTTCTTTTCTTCTAGAAAACACTGAGGCTGATGTAGAAGCTGCCCCAGGTCAGAGTGAAGAAAAGTCCCTGCCTGCTGCACCTGTTCCTAGCCCAGTAGCACCAGCACCTGCACCCTCCAGGAGAAATCCACCCGGTGGCAAGTCCAGCCTAGTCCTCGGTTAAACCTTTCCCTTCCTGACTGTTTTGAACTCGTGTCTGTTTTCTTTCCCCCATGCTTGTGAACTGCACAACTTGAGCCTGACTGTACATCTCAAATTTCTTTCATTAAAAAGAAGCACTTTATGTACTCCCATTTTTTTTTTGAGATCAAGGGTTTTTTTCCACTTCTGTCCTGTTTCCCCCAGATCTACTGGAAGTGACATGAGTGTTTTCTAGTGATAGACTTGAGGGAAAGCTTTATGAAGTATTGTAATGTAATTCAAAGGAGAGTAGCTTGGTTCTAAGTGTGCTTAGAGGGTTTTTGTACTGAGGTTTGTTTTTTTTTTAGAACCCCTTAGCTTTACAAGGGTCTAGAATCCTGGTTAACCAGGCCAGCAAACAATCAGCAAGAGCAGTCCCTTCCTCTCCATGTGGGATTTAGGGATCYAAAAGGCTTCGTTGACTGCATGTGGTAAATGCCTTGAGCCCTGCTGTGCCATATGAATCATTAAGTGGTTAATGTACACCATGCTGCCTTTAAAAACCAAAATAAATCTTGATACTGGACTACTCTGACACAGGGTCTGTGCCAAATAGAGGGCTGATGACCAGAGCCACCTGGCCTAGCGCTGGGAAGGGGCTGATTTAGACTTTATTCAGTAAAGGTGGAGTGGATCATATAAATAAGAATTACAGGGCATTTTTTTTTACAACTGACTCAATGCTGTGCATGACCATGCTGGTGCTTGACCATGAGGTGAAAATCTCATCCTTTAAAGTGTGTGTTGTAATTTCACAAAGCTGGATTGTTGCTTAAAAGTAAATAATATAGAAATTTTGAAGCAGTGTTTCCTGTGTGGGTTTTATTTCATGGGTTTGGGTTTGCTTTGTTCTCTGTTGTCCTTGTCTCAGCCAACCTGCCCTGCTCTAACRGAGAAGAATTTTTACACCTGGCTTGAGGTCACCACCATCATGTGCCATCTTCCCAAGGAGAGAATCTGATTATCTCTTCATTTTTYTCTTCTGGATAGAGAAGTGTGGAATACGGCTTTTTATATATATATAAAATATAGGTGTATATATAAAATCTGTTTTATCCAAAATACTGTTTTATCTCAAGAAAATGAGAAAAGTTTATTTTCCTCAACAAAAACAAAAAAAAACCACCAAACAAAAACCTGAAAAAAAGGAAAAAAGGACACTAAAAAGGGAGGGGATGCAATTGGGACCAATTGTGCTGTCCTGGAAGGGCTCTGCTGCCCAGTAAGCCACAGCAGAAGATCTGTATGGAGCTGGTGTCTGTGCTGGTGCCTTTTCCACCCTTCTCCTGGAAGAAGCAGTGCCTGAAAACAGCCTGGCTTTTCCAGATCACTGCTGGAGAAGCCCTGCCCTGGGGTGCTGAACCTACAGAACTGGATTTGCTCTGACAGCTCCTCGTCTGCAGCTGGGGGGGTTCCCTGTAGCTGATGTGCACCGAGCCCTTCAGGGAGAGCCTGGGGAATAGCCAAATTAATATTTCCTTTGCAAGTCCCACGCTCAGGGGAACCTGTTAATGGTCCTTAAYGGCTGCTGAGGCTCCACTGCCCTTCTCTGCCCCTCCTGGGAATGTGGCAGCCGCATCTCGGCCACCGCGGGGACTCCRGGGCTGTCGGGGACACAACTTTTGTTGGTTTTTCCTCTATTCCTGCTGGAGCCCAGCCCCGTTCCCACGCGGGGCTTGCCCCGAGGCGCTCCGCCTTGCCCTTTCATGCATATTCATATAATAATTGCATATTCATATAATAATTGCATATTCATGAGCGATCTCGCGTGTGCCGGAGCCGGGGGCGCTGCGGCCGCGTGTGCCGGGATCGGGATCGGGATCGGGATCGGGGTCGGGATCGGGATCGGGATCGGGATCGGGATCGGGACCGGGATCGGGATGGGCAGCGCGGCCGTGCCTCTGCGGGTCCTGGTGGACATGGACGGGGTCCTGGCCGATTTCGAGGGCGCGGTGCTGCGGGAATTCCGCGCTCGCTTCCCGGCGGAGCCGCGCGTGGAGCTGGCGGAGCGCAGGGGCTTCTCGGTGCGGGAGCAGTACCGCAGGCTGCGGGAGGACCTGGCGGTGAGTGCGGCTGCGGGGCCAACACACCCTCCCTGCCCACCGGGCTGGGCAAAGAGCAGCGTGGGACCGGTGGTTTTTTTATAAAAAAAACCCCTTAAATTACTTGTAGGAGTTCTTTTTGTCCATGTATACCTAAATGGGATTGCCTAAGAAATTCCCTTTTAAAAAAGAAATCATGTTTGTTTTGGTAAAATAATAACCAAATTCATGCCTAGTCACTCTATTTACAGCTTCCYAGTTCCAGGAACTTTTGACCATCAATAGTCATCGATCAGAGCTTGGGCCGTCTGGAGCCTGTGGAAATGCTGACTGGGTCCACACTCCTGTCTATCAGCCAGCTGCAGGAGCCCGTACCTCGCTGTAGAACAGGAGGGAAATTAATGTGAATTGTCATTACTCAGCAGTAAAAATTCCCCCAGGCTCTGTACTTTAAACGATCTTAAAATGAGCAATGAACATCTCAGAGAACATGTACTGCCCAGCCTGAATCAGCATCTGTTCTGTTTCCTTACAGAGCCCTCGACTGTCCTGCAGTGACCAGAAGGAAGGATGAAGTCTGCATTCACCCATTTGTAATTTTGCCTTGCAAACCTCTCTGTTATTCATTCATCAGCCAACATTAAAAATGGCAGCAKTTTGCATGGACGGAGGGTGTTCCAGCAGCTTTCTCCTGCTGTTCCTGATCTCTTACCTGCCGTGCACTCCACTTGTCAGGGCACGCAGAGRGAAACAGAATGGATACAGAATTTCATTCTGTACAAACCCAGATAAAACATTTTTAGCTCTTGTTCTGCGGTGGGGCTGTGTGAACACGTTCAGGGTGCTCAGGGAGCTTTGGCTGAGGTATTACTGTGCTGCACAGCAAGAGGAAGAGCAGGAGAAGGTGAAGAGCGAATAGTTTGGTGACGGAATTCTCACACACACATCCCTTTGTAAAGGGCTGGTGATCCTCTCGATCATCACTACACAAAKAGGGCTGCATGAAACACAAAATTACAAATAATGTGAATCCAGATTTCACCCTTCCTTTTGGTCACTCAAGTCCCTGAGGAAACTGCTGAGCCAGGCTGTGCTGAGCACTTGCCCTGAGAAGTTCATTGCTCATTTTAAGATACTTAGACCCATTTTAAGATCCCGTACTGAGCCTGGGGTTTTTTTACTGCTAAGAAATGCCAATTTTCTGCTAAGAAATGACAATTCACTTTCATTTCACTCCTGTTCCATAATGAGGTAAAGGTTCCGGCACCAGAGTATGGGGCAGGAGGTTCTGGATCCAGTCAGCGTTTCCACAGGCTCCAAAGTGGCYGAGCTCTGATCRTTTACTATTGATGGTCAAAAGTTYCTGGAACCAGAAACSTGTAAATATAGTAAGYAGGCATGAATTTGGTTACTATTYTGCATAAGCAAATATGATTTATTGTCTAGATTAGTATTCCTTAAATGAATTCCATGAACAAAAAAAAACAGTTGCTGGTAATTTAAGGGGTCATGACCTTTTATTTGTTCTTTTTTTGGAAGGTCTACAATCTGTCCTATCCAGAAAATTGTGCTTTGTTCTATTTCTGGAATCCCCATTCCATAATTTGCTTCATGCTCATCCTGTTCCTCCCCAGACCTTAGGTGTGGCAATGAAATAACCAGATAACTGGTTTGAATCCCACACACACCAACAGTGGCAGAAAGYTCTTATTTTGCTGTTTTATCCTGGCTTCCTAAGGAAATTAACTTTATGGAGCTGTGCAGTGTGTCTGTCTCCTTCAGTAATCTCTGCAGCTCTGGGCTGATTTGGGTATGTTTGGTAGAACAATGAAGTTACAGTTTTAAAGATATAAGGCTCCTTTGGGTTTTATGCAAATGCCATCCATTARTTTAAAAACAGAACCTTTGTTCATTCTGCCATGGCTGGACAGGGTGTCCGTGGGGCAGGAGGATCCCTGTGGGAAGTCTCTCCTTGCCTCCAGCTGCAGGGAAAGCTTTGGCAGGAACCAACAGCCCACACAGGGCAGTTTGTGAGGCCACATGTCCGTGCAGGGAAACC